TAATGATAATATTAAAAATTATTATTATTACTATTATTATTTTTATTAATAATGATATTAATTTTTTAAATTTAGATTTATCATTAATATATATGGTTTATATTTTGTAACAAAAAAATATGGTTTATATTCGTATTGTGTTTTTATGTTTATTTTTTATAAAAATTTGAGCAAAACAAGAGATACTTTAGATTTTATTAACTTTGATAATATTGATCTAGTTTTATATTTAAAATATTTTAATTTTTTTTAAGTTGAATTACTTTAAGTTAAAAATATATTTAATCTTACTATTTAAAAATATTTTAAATTTTAAAATTATATTTATTTAATATTATTGATATATTATATAATTTATAATTAATTTATTTTAAATTTAAATTTAAATTTCACACACACACAACCCCAAAATAATATGCTAAAATACTTAAGCAAGCCCAAAGTACAAGGACATATTAAATATTAAATATTTCAATCTTGCTTTATTTTATTTTAAAATAAAATAAAACCTGTGGTATTCCTGTGGGAATGCTACGGATAGAAAATATAAATAAATAAATCTATATTCTTTCTTTTTATTTTTCTTACTCTCAATCTCATAAGAAACAAGTGTCGTATTTTAGGGTTTCGATTTTGGTACCTCTCTCTCTCTCATTTCTTTTTGGAGATTTATGGATAGATAGATAGATAGATAGATATTGACGGCTATCTGACTTTCTCTGACCTTGTTTGGTTCCTCAGGAAATTGAAAGAAAAAGAATTGGCGAGAGAGCTGATAATAATTTTGATTTTTCAGGTCGAATTCGTTGCTGTTGCTGTTGAAGCTTAAGTTTTTGTTAGCATAAAATGCCCAGGGATTTGTCGCGGTCGCCTTCATATAGGCGAAGGCGTTCGCCGTCGCCTGTGGGGAGTAGGTATAACAGGAAGAAGAGTCGAAGGGAGAGGAGCCGTTCTCCGTATTCCTATAGCAGGTGATCCCGTTTATGTTTTAACTCAACTTCCTTTCTTTTTATTTACTGTTCAACATAGATTGAGGACTCCTTTCGTTACTGCAAATTGTTCGAGCTAGATATGTACGGTGATCTTATCCTTCTTTATTGATTTATTTTTGGGTATATAGTTATCTATGCTTGCAAATGGGGTCTGATTTACCGTGTCTTGTTCAATAGATAGTATTCAATAAGATCATGGGCTTCCGTGTCTTGTTCGGTGTGTCTTTCCTCGCGTTCTGCTGTTACTGTGTTTTAACATGTTGCCAATGTCTGACATTCGATAATCTGGTTTGGTTGAAATCTTCTGCGGGAAAATAAATATGCGATGCCAGTGTTCTTTATAGCGTAGCTAGCCTATAGTTTGAAAGACAGAGTGCATATCACACTGCACCAAAAGCTTTTTGCAGAACATAGCTTTGAATTGGATTTTTACGTGGAAATTGCATGTTATTTGGCTTCCTTTTTTAATTGCTCCAGTGGATGGAGATTGATAGTTTGACTGTTCAAGTTGGTGTATTCTGGCAACATTTTGTCTTTCAAAATGATTTCTCTTTACATGGGTTTGTGCATGAGTCCTTTCTTGATTGACAGAGTCAATTGCTTTGTTGATTTTTTCACAAAAATGCGAGGAGTATTTTGATCTACTGGTATCGAATTGTAGTATTTCATTGGGAATCTGCTTTTGGGGAACTTAATATTGCATGTAAGGTGGAGAGATATCAAATATAATTATTTGGATAAAAGCATACAGAGCGCTGTAAGGGTGCCATAGGATTCACGTTCTTTATAATAAAGTTACAAAAACTCAGTGCCCTCCCATTGTATTGGGTGGGAAGTGAGCAGGTGATGAGTGCTGATGGGTGTCCTTTTTCATTGCTCGGTTCTGATATTAGCTTCTTCGTGTGATAAAAGATGGAGCACATGATGGTGTACGAGGTAACTGTATATGCTTCTATGTTTATTGTGCTAGATGGTGGGGGGATCCAAAACTGCTTTGCACATTGTTGATGTGCATACTAACATTTTTTATGTCTAATCATGTTTCTATATCGTACAGAAGGAGAAGTCGCTCTATTTCTCCTCGCCGGCACAAAAGCCGTTCTTCAACCCCGAGACGCCGTAAAAGTCGTTCTCCAACTCCAAGGCGTTATAAAAGGCAAAGAAGCAGTAGTTCCTCACTGTCTCCTACTCATAAATCTTCTAGTCCAAGTCTTGGGTCAGTGGAGCGCAAAATTGTTAGTGAAAAAATGAGAAAAGAAGAAGAAGAAGAGAAGAAGAGGTATATCAACTTTCAAGCATCTTAGTTCTGTCTAATATCATGTTTTTATTAGTGTTACTAGATTTCAGCTTTGTATTTTATTGCTTTTATCTTTCATTTGAACTTTTGGAATATTTATGCATTTTTTTGGGATTGCTGTATTGATCGCATATACATTGTTAGATTTGAGCAAGAGAAAAAATGGTTGTCTATTATTGTATTAGGCATATATGTGTTACTCAGTGAGTCAGAAGAGATATAATGTCTTCTAATTGAGAGATTCTAGCTTCATGTAGTCTGGTCCCATTGCAGTCAAAGAAAGTGACTGGGAGATATGCTAAACCATGGTTTGCTTTGGAACATGAATTGCTTCGTCACCAGTTGCATTAGTCTGGTTGTCTGTGTGTTAGAGGAAAGAAAGGAAAACAAAATCTTCCTGGTTAATTGCTATTCTAGTTGATTTTTATTTTCTTATGTCCTTAAACCCCTTGTTTGTTGTTTTAGCTATAATGCAAGTAAATACAACATGTGTTAATTGAGGGTGTTTTCTTTGGCTCTAACTACAAGCTAATGTTACTTCTATTCTCTGTTTTACATGTCATGATTACAGATAGCTCAGGTGCTTGTTTAGGGACCAAATTATAGAGCCTGGTTGCTGATATGGCCATGTCTTGTATGATGCTCCAAAAGTTTCATTGGCACTTAGGCTCGCATGGCTTGAACTTTTCCAACTTAGACAGCCAACAAAGTTTAGACTTGATAGCTTCAACACTTATGTCACATTTCTAAGTAAGAAATAACACTGGCAATAAAATAAATGAGCAAGGTAGGTGGTGCTTGGGGTGACAATTGCCTACTTGTGTTGATTGTAGGAATATTTACATGGTACAATGTGATAGGTGACCAAATAGCGAGCCAGTGTGTAGTTTCTATGGGTTAGGATTAGGAGTTGGGATTTAATTTTTCTCTTACCTCCACTTAAGCATTTGGGGTTCACAAGAATGGTCAGAGAAGACATGACCTGTTCTTGAGTTGCCACAATGCTATACTTGGGCAAATATTTGCTAATTATGGTAGTCTCTTTGATAACTAGCCTACCTCCTATTTCTACACTATGGACAAGGCACATTGGCAGCGGACAAGTAGTCACAAGCAAGACAACTGTCCTTTTACCAACTTTTGCCCGTTACACTTGGCTGTGCTAACTTGTTAAAATGAATAAATTTATTCCATTTCAATTTTGTCTTTTAACGTTGTACCTTGCTTCACTACTAAATCTCATCTCTTTGTTATGGCTTCAAGTTTCTTGTTTGTTGAGGTAGTCTGTTATGTGTTAACTTATACTTATCTCAAGTCCAAAACACTATTTAGAATCTAGCAGTTTAGTTTTGAGAATATCAGATTTTGTGTTTTGAGAATCTAGCAGTTTAGTTAGCACTTCTCGTTATCAGAGGCTCTTCAACCTACCATCAATTAAACTTAAAAGATGAAGAAAGATCCAAGTCCCAGTTTAAACTTTGGTTGAGCTGCTTGCTTTGATCAGGCTGAAATTCCTTCAGTGTTTGGTTTCTTGGTTCTTGAATCTTGATTGGTCTGCTTATTTGCATCAATTAGTATTCTATTCATGCTGGGATTTTCAAGAATCACTGGCCTTTTGTCAATGACATGCACAAAAGAAGAAAAGTTCGTATGTTTCTAAAACATAAAGATATTGAAAATGTATTTTAGTGCCAGAATTGAGGATTTGAAGTAATTCGGTAATTAGTTTTAAAACTGCAGCAGGTTACTTGACATGCTTCTCCACAGGCTTTTCTGAAGGAAGATACTGCTATAGTTCAACTTGTTATATTTGATGATGAAACTGGTGCCTCCTTTATCTACTGTTCACCAGTTTTGATACTCATTTGTTTGGATCAGGATTCGGTTAGAGGTATGCTATAGTTCATCATGATGCATTATTATATGTAGTACCTTTGCTGTCATGCAGGTTAGTTTGCAATTTACTGTAGCTCAGAAAAAAATAGAGAGAGAAGCAAAAAATTGGGCAGTTTGAATGCCAATTGCTGTTTTACATTTTGTGTGGATGTGGGGACACTTGGAATCATAAATGAGCAATTATGACTCAATGAGTGACCATTTTGTGGATTAACTTGTTTTATAATCTCAGGCGCCAGCAGGAAGCAGAACTAAAACTGATAGAAGAAGAGACAGCAAAGAGGGTGGAAGAAGCTATTCAGAGGAAAGTTGAAAAGAACTTGAACTCCGAGGAGATCAAGTTGGAGATACGAAGGCGTTTAGAAGAGGGGCGGAAAAGACTTATTGATGAAGTTGCCGATCAACTTGAGAAAGAAAAAGAAGCTTCTCTAATAGAGGCTAGGCAAAAGGAGGTAGGTGTTTGCATTGCAATAAATTACAGCTGACATATTGTTCACTCCGTTGCCATCATTGGTTCTCCCAGTGGCATATTTTCTTTCCATGATGCCCTGATCTTGTCCAGGGTATTTGTAGTGAACATCTATATCATTTTTTTGTTATTTGATTTATTTTGTTGTTTGCAATCGTTGTTTACCGATAACCCTACTGGTCATCCTCCAGATCTGCATAAAAATTGTTACAGTATCTCAGAGGAAACACCAGTTAATTTATAGCTATGGTGGCGTGGTTTCTAAGATGGATTTGGAAAGATTGCAATAGGGAGCATAATTGCTGTCTAGGTCAAATGGTTAATGCCATCAAGGTTGACAACCTTTTCCCTGATAAGGGTGTGTTTGGCTGATAAATTTTTCTGTTTCACTTGCACTCTTCCCATCATCATGGATTTTTTTTAGAAATCTTGCGAGCAATGTGCGTTAATTTCTATTGATAACATGGCCAAGAATCTTGGTGCAGTTGTGTTTCATCTTTTAATTAAAGGTAGCTATCCTTTCGTTGCTTACTCACAACGTGCGTGCGCGTGGCGCAAATGGCTGCCATTATCAGCTGGTTTGTGAATGCAGTTTTTTGTTATTCTCAGTGAGTTGAGCATCATTCTCAATTTTTTGTTCATGTACAGGAACAAGCTCGGAAAGAGAAAGAAGAGCTGGAGAGGATGCTTGAAGAGAATCGGAGAAGGATCGAAGAAAGTCAAAGAAAGGAGGCCTTGGAGCAGCAACGGAGAGAGGAGGAAAGGTATCGAGAACTAGAAGAGCTCCAAAGACAGAAGGAAGAAGCAATGAGGAGGAAGAAGCAACAAGAGGAGGAAGAACGTGTAAAGCAGATGAAATTGTTGGGTAAGAACAAGTCTAGGCCCAAGTTGTCATTTGCACTTGGCTCGAAGTGAAAACACTCGAAGAAGCTGATTTCAGTTTCTATAAATGTATGTGATAAAGGCTCCCTATTAATGTTAGCATTTGTGATTCGAGGGATGTTGCAATGTTTACTAGTTTTTGGTGTCGGCGCCTCATTCTGAGATTGCCACCAGCAAGTTTATCTTTCTTAGATCCATTTCATTACCCTAGCCTGCCGGTAAGGATGGTCATCGACCATATGACAGCGGAGCAAGCCCGGGGCATGTTCTTGGATGGCTGCGAGAGACAAGCTCGGAGCTTGTTATTTAGTTTGTTTTTGGTAGCGAAAACAGAGTGTGAAGAGCCCAACTCTTTCTTGTCTGTATATCTCAACAGTGAGTTTTTTTTATCTACGTTAAGAGAGATTGACGTGTAGGATGTGTTGCAGACTCGTTTACTGGATCGACAAAGTCTACTGTGGACGTGTCAAGTTTTGATGGATGATTTTACAGGGGAGCTGGCTGGTTTCTTCAAAAAAAAAAAAAATATCAAAAAATAGGGATTGTTTGTCTTTTTGATATAAGTTTTTTTTTTTATCCTTGTAATTTTTTTTTTTAAATTCTTGCTTGAAATTTTATTTTATATGTTTTAAAACTGTTTTAATATATTAATATAAAAAATAATTTTTAAAAATAAAAAATATTGTATGTTTACGTTTACATTTCCAATCTAGAAAAAGCTTTCAAAAATCAAGGCGGCCAGCTATCTGTTATACCGTGCAGGCGGCGTCAAGCGTGTTGACTCCTGTAAAGACATATGCACGTTATACAGCCGATGTGGGACACGGGGCCTTCACAACCACACACAAATACGGACTGGCACGACGAAGGAATTGTTGTTGTTTCACATCCCTCGACAAAACTACGGTGGTCTTTGTCAAGGCATGCTGTCCTCGAGACGAGACGAGACGAGACAAGACGAGTTAATGAGTACTACAGAAGTTAAAAAAGGGGAAGAAAATAAAGTATAGGATAGGCAATGGCCCAATTAATTTTTGCAGTGATAATGAATAAAACTGTTAAATTCAAATCATATGAACATGGCTTTATATGTTGAGATTTCTTTTGATTTATGTTTTCTCACATGTAAAGTGTTGAGAGGTATTCCAGTGATGAACTAAATATTAATTTTGAGATATAGAACTTTGTTTATAGTTAAAAATAGATATTAAAAGAAGAAGGAACATATTTAACAAAAATAATAAAAAAAAGATGACTTTGGAAGCTCGCATGGTAAAATTTAAATTTGTCCTTATAGTTTTAGTTTATATATCCCAGTTACCTAAGCAATTCATATTATTGTTTTTTATCTTAAATTTTTATTTTTTAATATTTCGGTCTATACACGAAGAAAAGAGAAAATCATTGTAAAATATTAAGAAAAAAAAAGTGCTTTGATAACAACTTTTTGATCACTAAAAAGTTAAATCTTGGTGTTAATGAGTTTTTTTTTAAATAAAAATTTGATAGAAATGATGTTTTCTTTCAATTATATATAAAAAATAGATCAGTTATATATTTATTTAATTTTAATTTTTAAGGATTAGAGAATGTTTAGGGTTGAAAATGCATTTGTAAAAAGACTGGTGGACAATGCATCATCCATTTTGTTTAAGATAAAAAAAAAAAACAGACATGCAGACATAGGCTTTTTGTTTCATAGCCAGCATGCAGACATGATATTTTCTTATATATATTTCCTATTTTTTTAAAAATTAATTAATAACGTATCTCTTTTTTTTTTTTTACTTTGCATTAATTTTTTTTTTAACTTTAATGAATAACCTCTCCCTTCTTTTTTAAATTGTTTGGTTATTTAAAAAAACACAGTAATTAAGCTTTTAATTTTTTTTCTAATTTCATAATGCTTCAAAGAGATTATTATAATTTTTTTATATAAATAATTTTTATTTTCTTGATATATTTATAAAACAAAAGAATTTCTTCTTGTTCTTAGATGCTAAAATTAACCTCTAAGATAAAATTAAAAAAAACATAAAATAAAAAAGACAACCAAGATTAAATATTAGCATGTACATCAATCTTTTGTTTTTACTAGCAAATTAGCTTTACCATTTTGTAGTTAACTAACAACTCTTTTTTTATTTATCAGTTCATATATATATTTTATTTTATTTTATCAAATATAAATATATATTTATTTTTTAATTAAAAAAATCATGAATTCATAATACTCAAAAATACATTCATAACACTAATGTGTGTGTGTGTGTAGGATTTTTGAAAAAAAAATTTAGAAATTAAAATAAAAAATCAGGTTACAACAAACTCTAAATCTTCGAACATTATCTATAATGTGAAAGCCAAAATCCAAGACAAGACAAGGAAGGCATCCCACCAGACCAACAATGTCGTCTCATTTTCACGTGAAAACAACTTAAAGATGTTCGTACACTTGCCGACCATAACACTACCAAGCCCAAGAAAAGATTCTTTCTAAATGCCCCGTCTCTCTCTCCCTTGTGGCTTGTAGTGGGGGATTACGACAGAGGCAACAGGGAGGTGATGGCGATGCAAAGACAATGGCGATGAGGAAGGCAATGAGTGTTGATGGTGATGCCAGGACAAGGACGATGAGAAACAATTATCTGAATTTAAACAATGATGATGAGAAGATTTATTTGACACACTAGTTGAGGCAATGGTTAATCTGAGAAGATTTACTTGACACACTAGTTGAGGCAATGGTTAATCTGGATGAACTATGATAATCATGTGAGAGATGGTTTCTGGGTTGTTTGAATTAGGTTTTAGGTGTTGAATCCACAAGACATTCTAGCTTAATTTTATTTGATGGCTACATTACTTCACAAATAAAATTAATGATTGCACAGAAGAGTTCTGTAATGAAGCAAGCACCAAGAAAAGTAAATGAACATGAAAAGAACAACAGAACAGGAATGGGAAACCTTTTCCAAAGGATCTATGGTAGTTAATAAACAGGAGCAGCTCTTTTCAATTTCATGGCTGCTCTGGGAAAACTCTGTGCAAGAAATTGAGGAAACGTTTTGCATACAGTTTGGGCTCAACTGCAGAAATCGACAGGGGGTCAAATTTTAAGGATTTGCAAGCATGCTCAACTTTCTTTTTCACATTGTATTCCTGTAATATATCTATTACGCCCATGTAGAGAACAACATCGTAAACCTCGAAAAGTTCAATCTCTGCTGAATCAACCTCGTCCCGCGTCAGTTTGTGGCTAGCCTGAGCTGGCATGTTCACTCCTAGCTGCACCCGCAACCTAATCACACGGCAATCAATCAACAGTTTACCTATCTACTGCTTGATATATAAGTGAACCTATCAACTGACAACATCTCAAAATGTCAAGCTAAGCACAGCTGAAATTATCGTGTTTAGATTGCTAGAATATAAAACGATAAGTTTAAATTCATCCATGAAGGTTTGCGTGGTATCATTGCTTGCCGGTTAGGGACCATATCAAAGAAAGTTGAAACCAATGATTTAGAAGACGGTCAAAATGGTCACAGTTCAAGTCAAAAATCAATCTTCAGAAGAAAGAGTTTGGTGAAATCAGATATCAGCAGACGAACATCATAGTAGTTCAAAACCTGTTTGGATGAGCTAATAGAATTAACAGGAAGGAAATAACTAGGTCCAACAAAAACTGTTTTGTGAGCTTAGATCAAAGAAACTGCCACGACTTCAAATTTCAACTGAATTATTATATGGTGTGATAAAATCTAAAATTGAAATATCTCAGCTAAATATGTTTGGTAAATTATTAGCAGATTTGCTTATCATTTCCATAAAGGCAAACGTTTTCACATGAAGGCTTGGAAAAGACTAAAATGATAGTCAAACATATACTGCTCATGGTAGTTATAAAATTCTACATGCATAATAACTTATGAGACCCAGGAGGGGCAAAGCAACATTTATACTGAGGGTGCTAAAGACAAACATAACTCTAAATGTTTAAATAGGTTAAAAGGCTAACTCAAACACTTCATACTACCAGGTACGATTGGCCAGCTTAGCATTGGAAAATCTCATTCTATTGGCATTAAAAGGTTGTAACTAGAAAAGGTACCTTCCAGTGCCAGGCAGCAAGAGATCAACCTCCCTCTCACCAAGAGAGTATGCTTTCAATGTATTTCCTCTGATGTGAGGTCCTGGTGCAGTGCTCACAAAGCCGGGTTCATGGGTCACTAGGAGAAGGCCTTTTGGAGGAGTCGAGAGATGCCCTTGTGAGTTTATACCTGGTGGATGCAAAAATGAGGTGCCATGTACTGAATAAACATGGCCACATGCACAGACACTATAAGAAAGAAGATAGGTGATGTTCCTCCGAAGTCCATGCATATTTTTTGTTGCCATGGAGATGATTATATGAAAAATGTTGTTAATGGATTCCAAATCTTGAAACTACCTGGTAAACTCCTAATCTAATTTAAAATGATGCAAGGAATACACACCAAAACCACGAGATAATTAACTGCAAGTAACAAATAATCTAATATAGCATTTTTGAAAGGCATACCCAAATTCACCATCCACAAAGGCATCCATAAATGTAAGCTTTCTACTCCACTTTCATAAGTCAGCTAGAGGATGAAGGTCAGGTTAAGGAGGGTACCCAAACCACAAAATACTGTAGTCCACAGATGAAATTTCTCACTTACCCATTATCCCAGTCTGCCCACTCTTGGTTTGCTTTTCCAAACTAACTGCCACTACTCTTGGTTTATTGGAACCAT